TCGCCAACCGGCTTCATTGTCTACTTGGGGGTCAGCACGCCTTGCTAGAGGCCGCTACCAACCGAGCAGGTCAGAGGTGATCCGACCTACGACCAAGCCGGTTTGAGGCTAAGGGGTCGCACACTTAAGGGAAGGAGCATGTGAGGCTGGATCCGACTCCACGAGTCAGATGTGATCATACTCGGACTCGGATCCAGCCAAACTGACTTTGGGCTTTAGGGTCCATGCGAGGCCCAAGTGTTGAGCCCGCGATGGATGCCTATATATAGTGGAGGTGCGACACACTTATTCGGTTGATTACTTCGGCGCCATCACTAGGGCTTTGCATGTGTTACAACTAGCCACCTCCACTCGTTGTTGGTTGTGTGATCGGACCTAGCAGTCCGCTGCACGATGTTCCTCCTGCACGCGTGGATGCTGTGAGAGGCAGCGCCCTTGCACCACTCCGGCAAACCTATTCGTGGGATCTGGTCGTCTACGTGGGAGAACGACAGGGAGGAGACGACTCCGGAGACGCGCTGCCCCAACTCTTCTTCCGCTACACGGCATTGGGCATCTAGTGGTAACGATGTGTGATCCATCCCTCGTAGCATGTTCCTAGATGTTCTGCGGGTAGGAATTTTAATTTGCGGTCAACTCACCCTACCGTAGAACCCAACACCCTACATATGCGCGGGGTACATACAAGGTGAGAGTTGAGGTCCCAACTTTTAACAGAAATGTTCATAGTGAAGGGTTGCCTTAATTGGTTTTATGAAGTGGAGACTTTCTTTGAGGTCATGGAGATTCCGGAAGATCATAGAGTTCCTTTGGTCACCTACAAGCTGAAAGGAGGAGTCATTGCATGGTGGCATCGCCTTCAAGAAGAACGCGTGCTGAGAGGAGAATCTCATGTGATAACCTGGCAGCAAATGAAGACTATTTTGAAAGGGAGATTTTTGCCCGTTGACTATGACCACATGCTATTTGTCCAATTCTAAAATTGTGCTCAAGGAAATAGGACTCTTTCCGATTACACAGAGGAGTATCTAAGGCTACATATCCTCATACTGAAGGGTCATCTAGCAGACATACTAATAGAGTGGAAGAAAAGGCTGCTCCACTAAAGGAAAAACGACACATCCTGAAGAAAACTAGAGGCACGGGTAAGGCAAATGAAGGCCCGGAATGCTATAAATGTGGTTAAGGGGGACACATATCTAGTGGTTGCCCACTTAGGAAATTTGTTAACACGACTGTCCATGATGATGAAGTCGACAAGGAAGAATATGAATTTGAAGATGTAGAGGGATAAGAGGTTTGTCAAGAAGAAGGTGAAGAGGTGGTATGTGTGATTCAACATCTCCAATGTTCTATAGCACAGCTTGATGATGCACAATGAAAGCAAATATTCAGGAGCAAATGCACTGTGAATTGCAAGGTATGCAAATTACTGATTGATAGTTGTGGTTGCGAGAATATTATTTCTCGGGATGTGGTGAACCGTTTAAATCTTGAAAATCATGATCATCCAAATCCCTACACTATTAGGTGGATCAAGAAAGGATTTAATAAGAGGGTCACCAAACAATGCAACATGCCACTTTCTTTGAGCCAACGTTGTCGCTCAAATATGTCGTGTGATGTCGTTGACATGAGTGCCAACCATATTCTTCTTGGGAGACCTTGGCAATTTGATGTGGAGATTGCACATAAAGGGCAGGAAAATTCTTAATCTTTCATTTGGAACAAGAGGAAGATCATTATTCTACCAAACAAAACTAATGGTAATACCTCTAAGGAGGAGGGGGAAGTATATTAACTATCTCCCGCACCTCTAATGAGTTTATGGAAGACTTGAAGGAGGCAGATTTGTGTGATGTACTTATCATAAAGGGAGAAGAACACCAGGCTGTCGAAATTTCATCAAAGGTACATGGCTTATCAGCAGAATTTTAGAGCATTCTTGGATAGCCACAAGGCCTTCCACCGATGAGAGGAATTAAACATAGAACTGACTTAATTTTGGGAGCAAGTCTTCCTAATCTTCCACGCTACCAAAATAGCCCAAAATAGCATGATATATTGAAGAAGAAAGTGGGCGAATTGCTGGAAAAAGGACACATTCAAGAAAGCATTAGCCCATGGGTTGTACCAACCTTGCTCAAGCCAAACAAAGATGGATCTTGGTGCATGTGTGTGTACAGTAGGGCCTTCAACGAGATCACTAGAAGGTATAGATTCCCTATCTCCCACTTGGATGACATGTCGAATCAGCTTAGTGGAGAAAGAGTGTTCATAAAGCTAGATTTAAGAAGCGGATGTCATCAATTCGCATTAAAGCACTGATGAATGGAAAATAGATTTCCAAGACAAAGGAAGGGTTGTTTGAATGGCTAGTTATGCCATTTGGACTCTCAAATGCACCAAGTACCTTCATATACTTGATTGATGAATGAAGTCCTTAGGCCCTTCTTATCCCACTTTGTTGTGGTTTATTATGATGACATCTTGATCTATGCAAGAATGAGGATGAACACTTTGATCACATTTGGAAGGTTCTAGGCTTACTACAGGAAAATGAGCTCTACATCAACTTAAATAAATGTGTTTTCCTACAAACGCAACTTCTTTCTTTGGATTTGTCATGGTATGTGAGGGCATTTGTGTTGATGATTCCAAGGTTAAAACAATTCAAGATTGGCCAACTCCGAAGACCATTTATGAGGTATGAAATTTTCATGGACTTGCAACCTTTTATAGGCAATTTGTGAAGAATTTCAACACTATTATGGCACCAATTATCGTGTTTGCAGAAAGGAAAGTTCTAATGGACAACAGCGGCTGAAGTTAGTTTCAACAAGATCAAGCAAAACCTCTCACAAGCTCTTGTCTTGGTGTTACCTGATTTCAACAAGACTTTTGAGTTGGAGCCTGATGCAGATGGAGTAGGAATTGGAGTTGTTCTATCTCAAGAAAGGAAGCACATTGCTTTCTTTAGTGAGAAGTTAAGCAAAACAAGGCAGAAGTGGAGTACATATCAGCAAGAATTGTAGGAAGTTTTCGAGCTTTAATAACTTGGGGAGTCCTTTTCCTACTAGGCAGAAGTGGTCAACAGATTCTCTAAAATGTCTCATTCCATTCCATGTATAAAGATAATGGATGATCATCATGTGGCAAACTTATTCTTTCGAGAAGTAGTCAGACTTCATGGAGTTTTAAGGTCCACCATCTCAGACCATGATAGGAAGTTTATTACTACATTTTGGCTCACTTTGTGGAAGCAAATCACCATTGAATTAAAAAAAATCAGGCACCGCCCATCCACAAACAAATGGACAAACAGAAGTGGTGAACAAAGGGAAACCGATATATTGCATTTGTGGAGAAAGAAAGGGACAATGAAATTTGGCTTTATCTCTTACAAAGTTCTCCTACATTAACTTCAAGCATTTATCCACATGAAGGAGTCCTTTTCCATTATCTGCACTAAAGTTACAACACATGTGGTGACCTGGTGAAGCTACCATCAATGGGAAACTCAAAATCAGCAAGATATTTGAAGAAATTTGTGGTGCTCTAGAAGCACTAAACCGGAAATATAAACAACTTGTTGACTGCAAAAGGAGTCTGAAATCATTCCATGTTGGTGATAAGGCGATGGTCTACCCAGAAAAAAAGAGGTTGTCTTTACGTGTTAAAGGGAAGCTTAGGCAGCGAAGGCATGTGCCCTTCTCTAGTATGAGGAAAGTAAATGATAATGTTTATGTGATAGACCTTCTAAGCAACATGGGTATATCCACACATTATCAATGTTGCGGACTTGACTCTCTACTGCCCAAAAGAAGCGCTCTATGAAGATAACTCGAGGTCGAGTTCCGAACAATTAGGGGAGAATGATGAGGAAAAGAAAAATAAAATCATATGTCAAATCTATTTAGCTACTTCTAGATACTTCTACTCTAGTCTAGTTTTTTTCCTTAATCTTAAGTAATGTTTTCTAGAGTATTTTAGCTATAAGCAGAAGTGAATTGTAAAGACTTTTCAAAGCCTTATAAATAGTGGTCCTCACCCCTAGTTTATAACCAAACTATGTACCAATTACCTATAAGGTCTTGTACAATGGAAGGTGCTTAGGGGAGGTGCTTAGAGAAATAAACCAGGCTTTTCTAAAGCACCGGTGCTTATTTGTATAGGATAGACGCTTAACTAAGCGTTTCTCCTATAGAAATAGGCACCGGTGCTTCAGAAAAACCCGATTTATTTTTCGAAGCATCTCTCTAAGCATCTTCCATTGTACAAGGCCTAATAGACCTTAGTGTGTTTGCGTAAGATCTTAAGCTCTATAATTTTGGATTGAACTCCTACCACATCGGCCTATTTCTGCCTCGAGCAATACCTAGCACGACAAGTAGTTCCTTCAACACTTTGCCATACACTTCGTAGCAGCAAGGTGTAGTTGCTCCTCCACAACCTTATGCTACTTCGAGAAAGAATTCTGACAAGCAATTCCAAGGCAGCCAAACATATTGGTGATGAAATTCGTAAATGAATTCCACAAGTTCTTACCCAAATGATGGATGCCAAACGAGTTGTGAAGGAAATTGGAGAATGGAGAAAAAAAGGGAGTCATCATCCAATTCGCTCCGATGACCTAGGCATGGTTCAGGGGTAAAAGCAACTTCGTGATTCATGATAATAAAAAAAAAAGCAGCTTCACCATTTTCTTGACACAGGCCATTCAAGGTATCTTTTGGGAGCTTCCCAACACAAGTTACCTATGGTAATTTTATTTCGGTGGTAGCACTTGCATCTTTCTACATACACTAACCTACAGCATATTGAGCATAATGTTGTACAGCTATGACTACTATACAAAGCTGGCGCATTTTATCCATATGGAACGAAATAGACCAAAACAACCCAGTGCTTTAACATGCAGGCTCATCTTTAACTATACAAACTTTTCATATATAAACTTATAGCCAGTAAATATCATCATTAAATGTTGTATTGCTCTATCATTGCATCAGCAGAAGATTATTCACAGTGGCATTCACATTATTCGTTCTCATCAGGTCCTGCAACAAGGTTGAAAAGGAAAAAACATTAGTGCATACTAGCGTCTAGAGAAATTACAACAAGCGGCTAGCAAAAACAGAAACGTACTTCAATAATTAGCTCGTCAGGCATATGGGGTAAAACTTCCCGTACTCTATCTACCATGGTATTAACCCGCGACATGCTTCCATTAATTGTTCCTGCCGTGCCTCGGAACCGCAAGCTAGCAGAAGCCACATCAGGCCTCGAGGAAGATGATGGAACAATTGAAGGGCCTGCCATTGACTCAGGCCACAGATTCCAGGTGGCATCTGCATGCCCATAATTATCAGTCACAGAAGCGAACTGCCTCATCATCATCTGAACTCCACTAAGCCCCACGGATCTCACTGCACTAGAGGAACTGGGGTCATCCACCCCAGGGCTCGACCACGGTGGTGCCCAGCGAGAATCAAGACCCGCACCTCTGCGACAACAAACACAAACACATTAAGGAATCAAATATCAACAACTCTGTAGTCACATAAATTGAATGGAAAACTGCACTTCTGCCATCATTGATGAACCATGTCTTCTGGGTGTTGAGTTAACATGTTAATAAAACAGCTAAGAGTTCTACACCTGAGCATTTTATTTACTTCCTCTGATCCAAAATAAATGTCATGGTTTTAGTTTTGCGTGACACTTATTTTGGATCGGAGGGAGTACAAAACTTATGTTAACTTACTGCTGGTGTTCTAATTTTCGAAGTACTCCCTCCGTCCCAAAATAAGTGACTCAAGTTTATACTAACTTTGTACTAAAGCTAGTATAAAGTTGAGTCACTTATTTTGGGACGGAGGGAGTACATCTATATTCAACTGCACATATGCTAAATCAGAAGTCTTTAAGCAACCAGATTCCAGCAGAACTTCCAATAACCAGTGTCAACTGGCCAGTTACTAAGAAACTGAGATTTTGAAACTAGAACACCATTACTCTTGAGTGCGTGCTAACTTTGAAGAGGGTCGATGCAGGGAATTAAAGAACCACATATTGCACTACTTTACTGAGTTTTGAGGGCTAATTTCGAAATGACGTTATTATATCAGAAATCTATCTAATACTTACGAAAATTAGAGAAGCAATCTGGAGTCTGGTGAAGTGCCACAGATATAGAACATCGTAAGTTTTTATGCATACCTCCAAACACCATCTGAAGGATCCTGCTGTTCAGGAACCCTTTGCTGATTTAATCCCATATTTAGCTGTTCCGAAATTAGCTGAACATTTGCTACCTCTGCTGTTGTTGACCTAGAATGTCCTTGAGCTGAAAGAAAGAGTGGCCTTCGACAAGTTGGACAAGAGTAACCCTCCATTAATCCTTGATCCAACCTACCCATAGCAACAATATGAGTAAAATAAAACAAGGAGCAAATGTCCTACATACATTTGATGGTAAAGACACTTAAGCTTTTAATAATTTACTAAGCAGATCAACAGAGGGGCACTCAAACATGACTTCAGTAATTGATCCTTGAAGATGAAATGTCCATGATTTGTTCGCTATGCACCGGTAAGTAATACTGAGTCCATTAACAAATATAACATGTTCTAACTTTTTGGTGATTTATAGACCCATTTTAGTGTGTTCGTTCACTCATTTCAGTCCGTATGTAGTCCATATTGAAATATCGGAAACATCTTATATTTATGAACGGATGAAGTATCAAATAAGGACATGCATATGGTGTTCATTGACTTGGAGAAGGCCTACAATAAGATGTCGCGGAATGTCATGTGGTGGGCGTTGGAGAAACACATAGTCCTAACAAAGTACATTACCCTCATCAAGGACATGTACGATAATGTTGTGACAAGTGTTCGAACAAATGGTGGCGACACTGATGACTTCTTGATTAAAATAGGACTGCACCAATGGTCAGCTTTGAGCCTTTATCCTTTTGCTTTGGTGATGGATGAGGTCACAAGGGATATACAAGAAGATATCTCATGGTGCATGCTCTTTGCGGATGATGTGGTGCTAGTCGATGATAGTCAGACGGGGTTAACAGAAAGTTAGAGCTATGGAGACAAACCTTGGAATCGAAAGGTTTTATGCTTAGTAAAACTAAAACTGAGTACATGAGGTGTGGTTTCAGTAGTACTAGTACTACTAGGCACAAGGAGGAGGTTAGCCTTGATGGGCAGGTGGTACCTCAGAAGAACAACTTTCGATATTTGGGGCTATGGGGATATCGATGAAGATGTGAATCATCGAATCAAAACTAGATGGATGAAGTGGCGCCAAACTTCTGGAGTTCTCTGTGACAAGAGAGTGGCACAAAAGCTAAAAGGCAGGTTCTGTAGGAGATTCGACCCGCAATGTTGTATGGCACTGAGTGTTGGCCGACTAAAAGGCGACATGTTCAATTGTTAGGTGTAGCCGAGATGTGCATGTTGAGATGGATGTCTGGCCACACAAGGATCGGGTCAGGAATGATGATATACAGGATAGAGTTGGGGTAGCACCGATTGAAGAGAAGCTTGTCCAACATCGTCGGAGATGGTTTGGGAATATTCAGCGTAGGCCTCCAAAAGCTCTAGTGCATAGCGGACGGCTAAAGCGTGCTGATAATGTCAAGAGAGATCAGGGTAGACCAAACTTGACATGGGAGGAGTCTGTAAAGAGATATCTGAAGGACTGGAGTATCACCAAAGAACTAGCCATGGGCAGGGGTGCGTGGTGTTAGTTATATTCTAGCCTATATATTTTCCGCGTTGTATGAGGGGTTTCTTGCATATTTACCACCTATACATGTATATATATTGGCTATTGGCCATTGACCCTCGGGGAATACAAGTTGCATATTTCCTAACATGATAGTAGAGCTAGGTCTTTTTTAGCACGCGCAACTCATGCTTGAATCCTGCCCATCGCTCTGCCGCCATCCTCTCTTGGCTGCTGACGCTGCTGCTCGTTCTTCCCGATGGCTGATCTACCTCCATCGGCCCCGTCTACCAGGTCTTGCCGCGTTCGGACGACGCTTCTACAGGCCTGCGCTACTTGCTCCACCCAACGGCCCATCTACAGGCCAACTTCCAGATCACAGCAGAGCCGCCCACCTCATCTAAGTCAGGCCATTGTTGCAACTCTTCGCTCAGGCCGCCCCTCGGCTGAAGGATGACGCCACCACGCTCCTCACGATTGGTCCCCACTGCCTGATCCCGATCAAACCAAACTGCTACTGGATCCCACCGCCGGCTGCTCCATCCGTCAGCTCGCTCCACTTCACCGCACCCTACAAATCGGGTCATCGTCCTGCCCTCCAGATTGGGTCAACGCTCCGCAGGGCTGCATCCGCGTCTGCGTCGCCCATCCTGCAGGTGCTTCCGCTGGATAAGGTCACGGTCATGACGTCACAGCCGTGACCTGCCACGTTCGCTGGCCTGTTGTGCCCAGCAATCATTGATTGCTGATTTGCTTGCTAGTCATCCCTGCCGGTCACAGGCATTGCTAACTGCATCTTCATCATCGGTTCCAGGGGAAGACCAAAGATCTTGCGCGGTAGGTCCGCCAGAAAAACTCAAGAGAGAAAGAAGTCTCATTAATCTCTTCATGCTCGTTCCAAGTTCAAAGTACCTTTTGGCCAAAGTTTGAATCAAGGCGCCGGCCTCTTCTATTGGGACTGATTCTGCTGATTGTCTTCTAGAAAAAAAATGGTGTCTCCGGCTTGTCCTTCTATGATCTTCGACGGTGCTCCCTGTATTGATCTCGTCTTGCACATGCATCGTCTTTCGATGCTTGGTGCTCGTCCGCCTGTGACGTTGTTCCCTTTGGCGTTTTCTTTAGTTTGTGTTGGTCGCTCTCCTACAACTACTCTCGCGACTTCCGCACATGGTGAACGCCGCTCTACACCCATTCCTCTCGCGACTTTCACCGGTGATTGTCACTCTACACCGACTCCTCTTGCGACTTTCACTGGCTGTGCTGGTGCATATGACTCCACAAACTACACCTCGCACACGTGCCTTCCCATGACGCTTGGGGATTGTCTGCATGCGCCCTTAGACTTTACGGACGGTACTAGTCATGCTTCACCGCCACATCTAGCGGCCACGGGTGGTGGTGGCTGCTCCTCTCCCGGTGCTACTGTGTCGACTACTTTAGTTTTGTACTTCACTGAGGAGATTGCGCGACTTCACGCCCTACTGATTGCCTCTGGCTCTATTGTCGGGTGCATCTACGTCGACCTCTTTCCTTGAGCCCCTCTTTCCTTGAGCCCCTGACTAAGCAGGAAATTGTGTGACTTCAATGCCTGCTAGCTCCATCTTCTGGTTCTCCATCGACAGGTTCTGCTGGTTATGCTATTGACTCTTCTAGCATTGTGAGACCAACATCTATGGATTTTTTTATACTGGAGCATCTTTCATATGACTCATGATCCATCCACTTTGTCCTCTATTCGACCTCTCAATTCTCATGTTCATGTTCTTACTGCGGATGGTACCTCTCGGTCAATGGTCGAGGCATTCTTAGCACTTCATCCTTTCATGTTCCTGATGTTGCTCGTATTCCTCGACTTACCATGCAGCTCATGTTCGGTAGTCAGATTGTTGACTCTGGTTGTCGGGTCATTCTCAACTTTGACTCGGTCTCTATTCTAGGCCGCCATACTGATGCTCTCCTTGTTGTTGGCCCCCGGCACCGTGACTCCCAGGGCCTCTGGGAGCTTGACTGGCTTCACCTTTCCCTCCGCTTGCTCTCCTTGTTGCTGGCCCCCGGCACCGTGACTCCCAGGGCCTCTGGGAGCTTGACTGGCTTCACCTTCCATCCGCTGCCACTGTCGACAGTCTCTCCCCCTCCGTTGCCTTGTCTACCAGCTCTTTTCAGCAGTGGCATCATCGCCTTGGTCACTTGTGTGGCTCTCGTCTCTCATCCTTGGTTCAACTTGGTCTTCTTGGATCCTCCAGCGGTGTGTCTTTAGACTGCTAGGGTTGTCGGCTTGGTAAACAGGTCGAGTTACCTTATCGTCATAGCGACACTGTATCTCAGCATCCTTTCGACCTTGTTCACTCTCATGTCTGGGGTCCAGTTCCTTTTACCTCGAAAGGGGGTCGTCGCTACTATATTTATCTTTATAGATGATTTCTCTCGCCACACCTGGATATATTTCATGTCTTCTCATAGTGAGGTCTTATCTATCTATATGTGTTTTGCTGCCATGGTTCACACTCAGTTCTCTACGCATGTTTGTGTGTTTCGTGTTGATTCTGTTGGAAAGTATACTCCAAGATGTTGCGTGGAGTTCTTGCTAAGTAGGGTACTCTTGCTCAGTTTGCTTGTCCTGGTGCTCATGGTTGGAATGGCATGGCTGAGCACAGGCATCATCACCTTCTTGAGACGGCTCGTGCGATGATGATCGTCGCCTCTCTTCCGCCTCACTTTTGGGTTGAGGCTGTCTCCACTTCCACCTATCTCGTCAACCTTCAGTCGTCCACTGCTCTGCAAGGTGGCGTTCCTTTCGAGCGTCTCTTTGGTTGTCCCCCCGCATCCATCTTCCTTGACATTTTCAGTAGAGGATATATCCTCCCTCACTTTTCCTGACACACCTATCACTCCTGTCGAGCCCTTGCTCGTCCGTCCTATTGCCCCTGCTTCTCCGATTGTTGCAGATCCAACACCACCATCTCCCATGGTCTCCTCGCCTGGCTTGTCACCGGATTCTGCACCTTCATCCCCGATATCTTCTCTGTCACCTTCGCCTATCTCGATGAATCCTCCTCGTATTCTTCCATATTTTCCTTAGTATTATACTTGTCCGCGTAATGTGGATACATCTACTGAAGTGTCATCTTTCTCGTCTCATCCTACTTATGGCTTGCATCCTCGCACCGCTTCGCCTATTGATCGCCTTGGTTTTCCACGCGTTGGTGCTGCTGTTCTTGAGCCGACTTCTTATCGTCAAGTTGTTATTCATGCCGAATGGCAATTTGCGATGGCAGTGGAGCTTGTTGCTCTTGAGCGCACCGGCACGTGGGATCTTGTTTCTCTTCCTCCCGGTATTCGTCCCATGATTTGTAAGTGGGATCTTAGTGAACAGTTTCTTATGTCTGATCTTGGCCCTCTGCTACTTTCTTGGGATCAAGGTCTCTTCTACCTCTGATGGCTTTTCTATTTCCCAAGAAAAGTATATCCAGGATCTTCTTGCTCATGCTGCTCTTACTGATGAGCGCACTGTTGAGACTCCCATGGAGCTCAATGTTCACCTCTGTGATACTAATGATGACCCCTTGCCTGATCTGTCACGTTATTGTCAACTTGTTGGGAGTCTTGTCTATTTTGCTGGGAGTCTTGTCTATCTAGCTGTCACTCGTCCGGATATCTCCTATCCGGTCCATATTCTGAGTCAGTTTGTCTCCGCTCCCACTTCGGTTCACTATAGTCACCTCCTTCGTGTTCTTCCATATCTTCAAGGCATGATCTTTCACCGCCTGTTCTTTCCTCGCTCCGGTTCCTTACAGCTTTGGGCCTATTTGAATGCTACGTGGGCTAGTGATCCCTCGGATCGTCGTTTACTTTCTGCTTACTGTGTTCTTCTTGGTGGTTCTCTCATTGCCTGGAAGACGAAGTAGAGTGCAGTTTCGCGTTGTGCAAAGGTTGAGTTACGAGTTATGGCTCTTTCGACGGCAGAGGTGACTTGGTTACAGTGGTTACTTCAGGACTTTGGTGTTTCTGTCACTACACCTACTCTGCTCTTGTCTAACAGGTGCTATTAGCATGAGCTCACCAAGCATATTGGTTCTATGTGTGCGCTGGTGCGTAGGATCAAGTTATTGCTCTTGAGTATGTGCCCTGCGAGTTACAGTTGGCAGATTTCTTTATGAAGACCCAGACTAGAGCGCAGCATGGCTTCTATCTCTCCAAACTGAGTGTTGTTTATCCACCATGAGTTTGAGGGGGGGTGTTAGAGTTATATTCTACTCCCTCCGTTTCTAAATATAAGTCTTTTTAGAGATTTCAATACAAACTACATACGGATGTATATAGACATAGTTTAGAGTATAGATTCACTCATCTTGCTCCGTATGTAGTCCCTCATTGGAATCTTTAAAAAGACTTACATTTAGGAACGGAGGGAGTAGCCTATATATTTTCCCTGTTGTATGAGGGGTTTCCTGCATGTTTACCACCTGTACATGTATACATATTGGCCATTGGCCCTCAGGGAATACAAGTTGCATATTTCCTAACACATGGAAGCTAGCTATCCATATGCCAGAACCATGAGTTGGTTGCGAGATCTTATGGGTTTCAGCTCTAGCCTACCCCAACTTGTTTGGGACTAAAGGCTTTGTTGTTGTTGCTGACGAAGTATCAAATAAACTCCTTTACGGATTCCATTATAGAAAGTTCCAGTTGACAGCAAAATCAGGAATTCAGGACACTAGTCTCATAGTTTAGTTCGGAATTCAAGTAACTAAATGACATGGACATATGGAAGAGTACACTGATAACTACAGCCTTTAACTCAAAAGATTTTTTACTAGCAATCAAGCATCAATTGGCAACACACTAAAAGCAATTAAGGGCATACCAAGATCGCAAGCAAGGTAGATGAAATAGATGGTCGCAAGGCAACTTTTTAGCTCGAGCCATTGGTCCCTGTGAGTTGCAGCAAAAAATTCAGATACACAAGTAGTCAAGGACGACAGAGTTTCTGAAGATCTAGAAAACTGTTACCCGGCAGATGGCACACTCATCATCATATGTGCAGATCTCATCGTATTTAGCATCTGGGAGTGCTCCATCGAGCGAACGGAGTGCCTTTCTTAACTTAATGTAGGTCTTAATCCTCTTCAAAAATGAAACTACAAGAGCCTGCATATGATAAAAGACACATCAGTACATATTAAATAACTTCCATGAAAGTAACACAGTTTATCAACAGTTGCCAATAGGTGATGTCTGCCTTACACGCAAGTTCAACAGGAGGACTGCGTCGACCAGGTGAAACGCCATACCACGGAGCCAAAAGATCATCGAATAATGACCAAGTGACATCAACAAGCTTATCAGGTCAATGACAAAACCAAAATTCCTTATAAGTTGGCCTCTCCATTCAGAAAATGAACCTGCAGATGTGAAGCATGATTACATCCTGGTAGCAAAGTCAAAAGAGTTCAAGAAAAGTTTGCACAGGAGCTTAGTAAGTCTTGCTCCTGAAACATAGTCCCAACAGAAGATAAAGCGCAGCCTACAGATACACCAAAGCAATAAGTAGTGACATGTGTGACTGAAAATGATGTTTGTGTAACTCCCTGGTCAAGAAGAGTCATTCTGGCCATACTTGCACTCCCTCCGTCCAGAATACTTGTCGGAGAAATGGATGTATCTAGACGTATTCTAGTTCTAGATACATCCATTTTTATCCATTTCTCCGACAAGTATTTCTAGACGGAGGGAGTACAATCTAATGAAATTATAATGTTTATGAACTAATTTCTTAGACAAATGTACACACACTATTTTAATGGCCAAGATAAATATTCACAAAGATGTTACTGGTCAAAGTTAAATAGTTTGACTGTAAGCATGGATATCACTTTTGTAACCAGATGTCCTGCTTGTGTGCCTCAATATTACTATCATTGAGATGGTAAACACAAAAACTGTACATGCACAACATAAGAGTTATATATCAACAATGAGTTTAGCTGAGGAGCTTATCACCTGCTGCTTGTTTATAAGTTTTTTGGAAATCAAGATAGCCCACACCACTGTCCATCAGATGTCGCTGCCAAATGTCAAACAACTGAAATCCATGCACCATGATAGACTGCCAAGAAGGAGAGCTATTTCAGATAAGTCATCAAGAGATTCAGAAGTAATGACTATGCACGGGTAAACATTCATTTTTTTTTCTAGTTAACAACTTAATATTCATAATGGCAGTGCAGCAAAAAATATAAGTAAACTGGAAGTCAATGAGTCACAAATACCCCTCACAATATTGGTTCAAATTACCTGCAGTGACTCAAAGGCAATACTAAGTGGCTCAAATAACATAAGCCAAAATAACGTAGAATTGCATGAACTGCAGAACCCTACACAAAGCTTCATCCTGGAGAAGTTAGATAAAAATAACTAGTGAGTTCTCTGAACAGAAACAGCACCATACTTCTGTTATGAACAGAGCTTGTTGTATTGCACAACCCGAAGCACCTAATACATATATAAGTAAAAGGACTGAAGGAGACATCCTTACTCTAGACCAATAGAAAAAGACCATAACCCACATACCAACCCCCTCCCCCTCTTCTTAAATGTCAAACATATGCAGTAGCATTGCATTTGGAAAAGTAAGATACTAAAGACAGATAAACAGCTGCAGTCCAAGTCTTCATAGCGCCATCAAACCTGTCAAATCAAACCAGAGAGAGAGGCACAGCAGCAAAGAGCATAGCACTTGAGGAAAGCAAAACTGCAATGCGGCATCACAAGGGCCTCTACAATAAAGGACCATGCAGCAAATGGAAAGAGGCCATGCTCATCCAATATAAAGAATGGACCAGGACCAGAAAAAACGGAGGCTGAATGACCAAGGCTTTTGTGTACTCGTATGGCATGGACCAACACGACAGAGTGATGGACATGGATGGATGTAACATAAGCAATACACTGAAGAGACTGACTCAAGAAGGGATACTAGCTAGAAGTAGCAGCAGCCAGCAAGCACTCAGCCAAAACAGCAAGAACAGCACACCATCGGCCAGCACAATAGCACTCGGCCCAACACCACCAGTCCAACAACAGCACCGAACCAGCACCAAACTAGTAACCCATGGACTAAGTAATGTGGCACCCGCCCACAAAGCCATCATGAATGAAGCTGAACGGAGCATAAGTCTGCGGCAAGGAATCTGCAGCTGCATATCCATTCATGGAATGGCAGAGGTAGTCAGGCAATAATAGAGGAGGTCAGCGGCGCTGAATGAAGACTTGCACTGCAGAGAGGATCAGCATGTCAGATCCAGAGCTCGCCTGAACCTGAAACTACTGTCAACGTTGCCTTCCGTTTTGTCAGTTATTGGACAGCCAAGATGATTGCAGGGCCCATTTACCTGAAACTATTCAGTTTCACCTGTTGTCACTAGTTATTGTTACCGTTTCACTTGTCGAGTAACTAGCTCAGCAGTATATAAGCGTGGGGCGTGCGCTGTGTTAGCCATTCATTGATCATTATCCTGTAAGGACAAAATTACAGTATAGCAATACAAGTCGGGGTCTCTCTCTTCCGAGGCGAACCCTAGACACAATTTCACTTTCGTGTTCCATTTCTCATGATTTCACCAATCTGAGTAAAATAGGGATCTGCCAAATCGTATTCAGAGCTAGGTTAATCCTTGGAGGTGTCTTGGCAGAACACGATCACCTATGGGGCCAATTGGCCCCTTGTGGTTCGGCAAGGGGGAGGGGCACGTTGCACAAAGAGCGGAGACCGTAAGGCAGCACGGCAATGGTGACGTGGTGGTTTTTACCCAGGTTCGGGCCGCTGCTAAGCGTAAAACCCTACTCCTGCTTTGGTGGATTGGATGGAGGACCGTGACGAACACGCAGCGCTCCAGCCCGGCAAGGTCGCCTCGGGGAGAGCAGCTACGCGCGTAAGAGTGTACAAGGGTCCGAATCCTATTTTAGGTCGCCATGGCCCTCCTTTTATAGGCTAAGGGGTTACCACAGTGACAAATCAGTCATTATACACTGATTAGATAGCAAATAGTGCTATCATATCTAACTCTGCAGACAGGACAAGGCGCATTAAATGCACCGCTTAGTGTCACGTCGTGGATGTAGCCTGGCAAGCCTTGCCGCGTCATTTTAGCTGTCTCTGGCCTTGTCTGCCTGACACGCCTCTGGACGGGTGTCATGCAGGGTGAATCTTCTCCCCAAATGGCTGCCACGTGCCAAATGACAGCCACTTAATCACTTGGGGGCTCGACACCGCACTGATAAGTGACTTGCGTCGTTGTGCGATGGAGCGGTGGTGCCTTGGCGGGGCGGTCCGCCCTCGACGTCCCCGGCTTTTTAGCTTCAGGGTACTCAACTTACCAAATCATGATGTTATTGTAGGATGTGATTGGCTGGCACAGTACAGTCCCATCTCTGCGGATTTTGCAAACAACAAACTACTTCTGAACAAACCTGACAGTGGTATGATTGCAGTGGACATTTGCACCCCAGCAGAGAAACTGGAATTAATTGGAGCTCAACAGTTGAACAAATGGTTGGATCAGGTAATCTCTGGCATGATAACTCAGATGCTACTCCTTCAAAGCCATACAGAGTTCCCAACACTCAAAAAGATGAGATGGAACAACAGGTTCACAAATTACTAGCAAACAAATTAATAAGAGCTAGTCAGAGCCCTTATGCCTCGCCAGCTATAATGGTAAAGACACAACTTGGAGGCTATGCATAGATTACAGAAAAGTCAATTCTCAAAGTATGATGGGGCAAAAAAAATCCAAACTCGATCTCAGATCAGGGTACCATCAAGTGAGAATGTATGAACCTGACATTGAGATAACTGCCTTCAGAAACTATTTTGGATATTTTGAGTGTTTTGTCGATAATGTCAAGAGAGGTCGAGGTAGACCGAACTTGACATGGGAGAAGTCCGTAAAGAGGGATCTGAAGGACTGGAGTATCGACAGAGAACTAGCCATGGACAAGGGTGCATGGAAGCTTGCTATCCATGTGCCAGAACCATGAGTTGGTTGTGAGATCTTATGGGTTCACCTCTAGCCTACCCCAACTTGTTTGGGACTGAAGGCTTTGTTGCTGTTGTTGTTGTTGTAGTCATGCCATTGGCCTTATCTGATAAACCAACAACCTTCCAGGCTCTCATGAATGAGGATTTTGGCCCTTATCTAAGGAAATTTATTTTGGTCTTCTTTGATGATGTCTTAATTTACAGCAATGATATGAAGTTTCATTTGCAACATTTGGAAACAGTACTAACACTATTCATGAAGCACTCTTTAGCTGCAAAGCTCAGTAACTGTGTGTTTGCTGTTCCACAAGTGGAGTATCTTGGGCATATCATTTCTGGTGAAGCAGTATCTACATGTCCTAAAAAGATCAGTGCAATTATTGACTGACAAACACCTAGCAATGTGACACAATTAAGATTTTTGGGGCTCACTGGTAATAGAAGGTTTATCCAGAACTCCGGGATTATCTGTAGACCTCTCCATGAACTTTTAAAAAAGGGAAACTTCAACCGGATTGTTGTATAGCAAGAGGCTTTTGAAAAACTGAAACTGGTCATGACATCAGCACCTGTGTTGGCATTACCAAATTTGCACAACCTTTTGTACTTGAAACTGATGCCTTGGGCACAGGACTGGGAGCAGTAATCATGCAAAATGGAAAACCAATTGCATATTATAGCTCTACCCTCTGCCCAGGAAACTGTTATGGCCGGTTTAGCTAGGCCCACCGGGCAATCTTAGCCCACAAGTTATCTTAGGTTAATTCTTCTGCAAGTTATCTAGGTTATAAATATAGGCTGTAAGACTCTTTTTGGAATTAAGCAATAAGAAGATTATTATCTCTATTGCCCGGCTCCCAGAGGAGCCGGAACCCTAGCCGCCTTTAACCCTAGCCGCCGCCGCCATCTCCCTCCTCTTCCGCGACGGCGCTCAACCGCCGGCGCGGCCGCTCATCGCCTCGCCCAGCTCCCTCCTTCCCCTACTGCTTACGCCCCAGGCCTGGTAGGGTACAAGTTCCTACCAGAAACGCTGCCATGTCAGCTTGTGAAAAAGAAGCTCTTGGAACTATAGAAGCTCTAAAGAGATGGAGACACTACTTGTGGAGCAATAAACTGATAATCAGGACAGATCAACAAAACCTACAGTATATCACAGAGCAAAGGATTACGTAAGGTATCCAGCACAAGCTCATGCTCAAACTTCTGGAATTTGACTTCACTATGAAGTACTCCCTTCGTCCCAAAATAAGTGTCTCAACTTTGTACTAACTTTAGTGCAAAGTTGTAAATGTTGAGACACTTATATTGGGACAGAGGGAGTACAAAAAAGGAAAAGAAAAAACATCGTAGCTGATGCACTGTCCAGAATGTGCAATTCCATTTTCTCTATTCTGTTGTTACACCTTTTAGAGCAACTCCTCATTTCCCCTGCTACTGATACTAATGCTGGTGTTTTGAGATATAAAGGGAGAATTGTCATTGGCAATGATTTAGCACTACAAATAAGGCTCGTACAAGCTCTCCATTCTTCTGCTGTTGGGGTACATTCAGGAACGAGAGCAACATATCTTATTGCTTTATGCCCGGTCTCTAAGAGATCAAAATCTGAGCACCGTCACTACCCAAGGCTTTTAGATCCCTTACCTGTTCCTGATATGGCATGGACCTACAGTACAACGGATTTTGTAGAGGGGCTGCCAACATCCCAGGAAAAGTGGTTATAATGTTGGTGGTGGATAGATTAAGCAAATATGCCCATTTCATTGCTTTATGCCTTTATCCCACCCCCATACTGCTCATACTGTTGCACGAGCATTTCTGGATACAATCATCAAATTACATGGCCCTCCCAAGTTGACAAAGATAGGATCTTCACCAGCAATTTTTTGAAAGGACCTGTTTAACTCAATGGATATCCAACTAAGGTGCAGTACAGCTTATCATGCAGAGTCTGATGGTCAGACAGAACGTGTTAACCAATGTGTGGAAAACTACTTGCGTTGCATGGCTATGAATAAACCGAAGAAGTGGGCTGCTTGGTTGCCATTAGCTGAGTATTGGTATAACTCATGTTTTCATACCAGCACAAAGTTCTGCCCATTTCAGGCCTTGTATGGGTTCCCCCACCTCTGATATCTGAAATCTCTATCCCTGGGCCTATGGATGAGGAAACAACTGTGTTCCTTCAGACTAAACAAGAGACGTTGGCCCAGCTTAAGGATAACTTGCATAAAGCTCAGAATCGCATGAAGAAATATGCTAATTTAAAAAGGGTTGAGCGCCAATTGAAAGAAGGTGATACGGTCTACCTTAAAATGGAACCCTACCGCATGGCAGCATTTGGGTTGCGTGGCACCATTATACTACAGAGCAAGTTCTATGGCCTTATTAAGATACTCAAGCAAGTGGGCAAACTGGCCTATAAACTCCTGTTACCTGAAGGTGTGCAGATTCATCCGATTTTCTATGTTAGTCAGCTGAAACAGCACTTGGGACAAAAAGTGGTGCCTAGTCAAGATCTTCCCTTAATCAATTAAGTCGGATCAATTAAATATGCTCCAGCAGCAGTACTGGAAACCCGGCAAATACCACGAGATAATCTGCCGGTGGTTCAATGGCTTGTTCAATGGGAAAATCTTCCTCCAGGTGCAGGTTCTTGGGAAGATGCAGATTTCATCAAACACACCTTTCCAGCTTTCTTTCGCTCTACAGTACAAGCCTGGTTAGCGGCTGATCCAAGCGATGGCTGCAAGCCTGCAACAAGTAGCAGAAGCAGCACACTGCGGCCAACACAAGCTGCAGCAGAGGGACCAGTGCTGAGGGTGAAGCCAGTGGAGATGAAAAGAGGAGGCTGGCCAGCGAGCTAATGAAGTGGAAGATTGGATCAGCAACGGATAGGCCTTGCTGGAAAAGCAAGGCCAACAACAAGAATACCACATTGGTAGCCAGCAATGCCGGATAAGATTGGCGGGCTAAAAATCAGCACCAGCGACAGACTGGGGACCAGCGGCGACAAGATAAGGTGGTTCCCAAATCCGGCGTGGGCGCAGGTCGGCTCGACTTGAACAGGCGCCAAGCTGAGAATGAGGGATCTCAGGGATAAGGAAACCGGTGAGGCGGATGTGGCATGGAGACATCAGCCAGTTGCTACTACACAGCTACAATGGGTATGGCAGTGGGTTTGGGGTGTCAAGTCCGCCCCCTGGAGTGGAGCTCGCTCTCCAGGGACAGCTCATCGAAGAGACGAAGACGATGAGCTGCAGTGGCGACAAATGGCACTCTAGGTTTAGCTCTAATACATTGTTACGAACTGGGTTTGCTGTATTGAACAGCCAAAGGGTACAAATATATAGTACAAGGACTCAAGGACAGCCCTAGACCGACAGGGCAACACCATAATACCTTAACAAATTGGGTAAATTCATCCCCAAAAGATACTTAGATAAATTGCTATGAAGCTTGATCCATGCTGACTAACCAGGGAATATTACCATAGTAGATCAGTCGAAAGAACCAGCAACAGCGCAGAATATACACGGAGATATTTCAATGGAGTTGCTGAGGGTGACGCATTGAGGCACTCAAGACGTTCTCTGGCCAATGATTGAAACATCTGGATATGACATTTATTTCAGTTAATACGATGGGTAGAATCTCAACAAGTAGATGTAATTGCACACAGTACCTTCAGTGAACAAAGAAGGACTAGCCAAGTTGACCAAAGGATTATTTGTTGAGAATTAGGAGGCACAACCAATGGGAGAAAAGTTCCCTGCAACACAAGAGAAGTCCTTGTAATTTTATTCACATTGTAGACTGCCACATGCACATAAATAACTAAAGGACGGAGTAAATTGCACATAATACAAAGTAGAGTACCACTTGTGTCCCTTTCTTTATACCACCAGGCTTCGGAAGAATAGACACTTGACAGCATTTTGGGACAAACGATATTACACTTTGCACTAGGTTCCATTACCCTCCGTTGCCACGTCCATTTCACCGCATGAGGGTTCCACAAGGCAGTGTAATGGGTTCTAAAGACCCCGCATCGCACTTGTCCCTTCTACCTCCTTTCATCATCTCCACATCGCACCCCAAATCCATACATAACCCATCAGCACACCACCTCACCACCAAGTCCTTGTGGCACTGTGCAAACATTTTCTACCCTCCACATTCTCCTCCTCTAGTCACTTTGCCCCACCACCTCTATATGCCCTTCTCTGAAAAATCGCTGCACCCCAGCTCCAAATTTTCCACGGTCCTGCAAACTAGTCCAAAAAGCAGCAACACACGGGAAGGCCTCTCGCTCACGCGCACAATGTACACAAAGTAGAGGCCTAGAGGGTTTGAACCTAGCAATTCAGCATACAAGACCAATCCTGTAGATGGCAACTTACGTATCAGGACAATTCCACACAGATGGCACAAAGGTATAATAAAGTTTTCTCCAAAAGCAGATTTTTGTCAAGATTCTCTGAGAAAATGATAATGGCTATCCACCCTAAAGCACACCTTGAATCTAATTCATCAACTTGCAACTTATCATTACAATGGTATATGTAGCTGTTATATAGTGCAATAAAAGGGCAGCCCGGTGCATGTAGCTCCCGCTTGCGCAGGGTCCGGGGAAGGGTCCGACCACTTTGGGTCTATTGTACGCAGCCTTTTCCTACATTTCTGCAAGAGGCTGTTTCCAGGACTTGAACCCGTGACCTCATGATCACAAGGCAGCAGCTTTACTACTGCGCCAAGGCTCCCCTTCTGTTATATAGTACAATCAACCGACAAATTTCTCATGCCTAGAATAAAAGGGAAAGAAAGACTCAGGGCCTGTTTAGATTACTACCAAAGTCGACAACAACAACAACAACAACAAAGCCTTTAGTCCCAAGCAAGTTGGGGTAGGCTAGAGGTGAAACCCATAAGATCTCGCAACCAACTCATGGCTCTGGCACATGGATAGCAAGCTTCCATGCACCCCTGTCCATAGCTAGCTCTTCGGTGATACCCCAATCCTTCAGGTCTCTCTTAACTGACTCCTCCCATGTCAAATTCGGTCTACCCCGCCCTCTCTTGACATTCTCCGCACGCTTTAGCCATCCGCTATGCACTGGAGCTTCTGGAGGCCTGCGCTGGATATGCCCAAACCATCTCAGACGATGTTGGACAAGCTTCTCTTCAATTGGTGCTACCCCAACTCTATCTCGTATATCATCATTCCGGACTCGATCCTTCCTCGTGTGGCCACACATCCATCTCAACATACGCATCTCCGCCACACCTAACTGTTGAACATGTCGCCTTTTAGTCGGCCAACACTCAGCGCCATACAACATTGCGGGTCGAACCGCCGTCCTGTAGAACTTGCCTTTTAGCTTTTGTGGCAAAAGTCGACCCTACCAAAAAATTGGCTTGCATGTGTAATTTGGTAACTGTTTGGATCTGCGCCAAAAAATTGGCTCGCCCAGCATGCCAGCGCCCGTACGTGTAGTTCTCACCAACGTGTGGGCAAGACGAGGGAGGCTGTGACTCTGGTTGTTATGGTGGGCCTGCTCCGTGCATGCAGTTAGGATAAGTCAAATTTTTAGCTGTAACCAATCAGTGGCGCTTTTAATTCAAAGATATGCAGGCCTGTGCATGATTAGCAACTGCATACAAACAGGAATTCCATCCAAAGATATACCAAGATGAAGTACACACAGCATGCCGTGTCATTCTTTTGGCGATTTTCTTCACAGTGACTGCATCTAACAACAACAACAACAACAAAGCCTTTAGTCCCAAACAAGTTGGGGTAGGCTAGAGGTGAAACCCATAAGATCTCGCAACCAACTCATGGCTCTGGCACATGGATAGCAAGCTTCCACGCACCCCTGTCCATAGCTAGCTCTTTGTCGATACTCCAATCCTTCAGGTCTCTCTTAACGGACTCCTCCCATGTCAAAATCGGTCGACCCCGCCCTCTCTTGACATTCTCCGCACGCTTTAGCCGTCCGCTATGCACTGGAGCTTCTGGAGGCCTGCGCTGAATATGCCCAAACCATCTCAAACGATGTTGGACAAGCTTCTCCTCAATTGGTGCTACCCCAACTCTATCTCGTATATCATCATTCCGGACTCGATCCTTCCTCGTGTGGCCACACATCCATCTCAACATACGCATCTCCGCCACACCTAACTGTTGAACATGTCGCCTTTTAGTCGGCCAACACTCCGCGCCATACAACATTGCGGGTCGAACCGCCGTCCTGTAGAACTTGTCTTTTAGCTTTTGTGGCACTCTCTTGTCACAGAGAATGCCAGAAGCTTGGCGCCACTTCATCCATCCGGCTTTGATTCGATGGTTCACATCTTCATCAATACCCCCATCCTCCTGCAACATTGACCCCAAATACCGAAAGGTGTCCTTCCGAGGTACCACCTGGCCATCAAGGCTAACCTCCTCCTCACAGCTAGTAGTACTGAAACCGCACATCATGTACTCGGTTTTAGTTCTACTAAGCCTAAACCCTTTCGATTCCAAGGTTTGTCTCCATAACTCTAACTTCCTATTTACCCCCGTCCGACTATCGTCAACTAGCACCACATCATCCGCAAAGAGCATACACCATGGGATATCTCCTTGTATACCCCTTGTGACCTCATCCATCACCAATGCAAAAAGATAAGGGCTCAAAGCTGACCCCTGATGCAGTCCTATCTTAATCGGGAAGTCATCGGTGTCGACATCACTTGTTCGAACACTTGTCACAACATTATTGTACATGTCCTTGATGAGGGTAATGTACTTTGCTGGGACTTTGTGTTTCTCCAAGGCCCACCACATGACATTCCGCGGTATCTTATCATAGGCCTTCTCCAAGTCAATGAACACCATATGCAAGTCCTTCTTATGCTCCCTATATCTCTCCATAAGTTGTCGTACCAAGAAAATGGCTTCCATGGTCGACCTCCCAGGCATGAAACCAAATTGATTTTTGGTCACGCTTGTCATTCTTCTTAAGCGGTGCTCAATGACTCTCTCCCATAGCTTCATTGTATGGCTCATCAGCTTAATTCCACGGTAATTAGTACAACTCTGAACATCCCCCTTGTTCTTGAAGATTGGTACTAATATACTTCGTCTCCATTCTTCTGGCATCTTGTTTGCCCGAAAAATGAGGTTGAAAAGCTTGGTTAGCCATACTATCGCTATGTCCCCGAGACCTTTCCACACCTCAATGGGGATACAATCAGGGCCCATCGCCTTGCCTCCTTTCATCCTTTTTAAAGCCTCCTTCACCTCAGACTCCTGGATGCGCCGCACAAAACGCATGCTGGTCTCATCAAAGGAGTCATTCAGTTCAATGGTAGAACTCTCATTCTCCCCATTGAACAGCTTGTCGAAGTACTCCCGCCATCTATGCTTAATCTCTTCGTCCTTCACCAAGAGTTGGCCTGCTCCGTCCTTGATGCATTTGACTTGGCCAATATCCCTCGTCTTCCTCTCCCGGATCTTAGCCATCTTATAGATGTCCCTTTCACCTTCCTTCGTGCCTAACCGTTGGTAGAGGTCCTCATATGCCCGACCCCTTGCTTCACCAACAGCTCGCTCTGCGGCCTTCTTCGCCATCTTGTACTTCTCTATGTTGTCTGCACTCCTATCCAGGTATAGGCGTCTGAAGCAATCTTTCTTCTCTTTAAGCGCCTTCTGGACATCATCATTTCACCACCAGGTATCCTTATCTTCGCTTCTCCTTCCCCTGGACACTCCAAACTCCTCCGAGGCCACCTTACGAATGCAAGTCGCCATCTTCATCCACACATTGTCCGCATCCCCTCCTTCCTCCCAAGGGCCCTCCTTAAATACCCTCTCCTTGAACACCTGAGCTACCTCCCCCTTGAGCTTCCACCACTTCGTTCTAGCGACCTTGGCACGCTTATCCCGCTGGACACGAATCCGAAAGCGGAAGTCAGCAACCACCAGCTTATGTTGGGGTACAACACTCTCCCCAGGTATCACCTTACAGTCTAGGCACGCACGCCTATCTTCTCTTCTCGAGAGGATGAAATCAATCTGGCTAGAGTGTTGGCCACTACTAAAAGTCATCAGATGTGATTCTCTCTTTCTAAAGAGGGTGTTAGCTACAATCATGTTGTAGGCTAGAGCAAAGCTTAAGACATCTTCTCTTTCTTGATTCCTGATGCCATAGCCAAAGCCCCCATGCGCCCCTTCAAAACCTGTGTTAGATGTACCCACGTGGCCATTGAGGTCTCCTCCTATGAAGAGCTTCTCACCAATCGGTACACTCCTAACCATGTCTTCCAAGCCTTCCCAGAACTCCCTCTTGGTGTTCTCATTGTGGCCTACTTGCGGGGCATATGCGCTGATAACATTGAGAACCAAGTCCTCAGCTACCAGCTTGACCAGGATAATCCGGTCCCCACGTCTCCTGACGTCTACCACTCCATACTTGAGGCTCTTGTTGATCAAGATGCCTACGCCATTTCTGTTTGCAGCCGTCCCCGTGTACCACAGCTTGAAGCCGGTATCCTCCACCTCCTTCGTCTTCTGTCCTCTCCATTTGGTTTCTTGGACGCAAAGGATATCAACACCTCTCCTCACTGCTGCATCAACTAGCTCCCGAAGCTTCCCTGTCAGAGACCCTACGTTCCAGCTACCTAAGCGAATCCTCCTAGGCTCGGCTAGCTTCCTTACCCTTCGCACTCGTCGAGTCAAATGCGAAGACCCTTGCTCATTTTCCACTACATCCGGGCGCCGATGTAGCGCGCCACTAAGGATGCGACGACCCGATCCTCGCTCACTTGCCACCGTATCCGGATCAAGATACGGCGCGCCACTTGGGGGGTGACGGCCCGGCCCTTGCCCATTTTCCACCACACCCGGGTTCCGATGTGGCGCGTCGCTGAGAGGGTTACGCCCCAACGAAAATCTTTTGGGTTTCATCTCCATAAGAGTGGCTGAGTTTTTACGTTGGCTCGCCAAGCCTATCACAACCCTCCTCCTTTACCCGGGCTTGGGACCGGCTATGTTGAGACAACAACAGTGACTGCATCTAAGTTTTTAGAAAAACTGCATCTAAGTATTGATATGTATTTCTTCTCAATTTTAGATAATAGATAAATTAAATATTTTTGGAACTAGTATAATAATCATGTTGGTTGGTCACAAACCAAACAAAACAACGGTCTCATTTGCCAAAATTGTGGAGGATATAACGGTCACAATCCAAACAACAACAACTGCCAAAATTTTGAGGGGGGTAGTTGGGGTTGGGGATCAAACCAAACATACCCTCAATCTGGAAAACAACCTTTCTTTGATAGACAAGTCTTTCACATCTTGGAACTTCTTTTATTTCCAAAAATAGTAAACGGATGCACGAAATTACTTGTTGTGCTGTGTTATATTTTGTTACATCTAGTTGGTGATCCCCGTGCAAGCCTTTGCGCGCTGCAAAGCCCTAGTGATCCTCATGAGCAAAACCTCCATAAATCCTTGTGGTCATGGACTACCGAAGCAATAGTATTGATTATCCTCTGGTTGTAACTGAACAGAACTCCTTGGACTCGCCAATTGATTATCCTCTGATTGTAACTGAACAGAACTCATCAGACTCTTCCAACTTTTTTTTTGGAAAGGGAAGTCATAAGGGAGTCCCCTACAACGGGTTTTTCAATAAGAACCCAAACTCCTGTCCGTGAGGACTTGAACCTGGGTGGCTGGGTTGTACATTCACTACCCCATCCAAGTGAGTTAAGCTCACTTTAAACTCTTCCAACGTGGCATCCATCTTGTACTCAGTTGACAATTCAAGTGGCTCTTGACTTCCTGGGACAAATCAGAAAAGACTTTTTTGTTGCACGCAAACTGGACACCATCCCATACACTTCCCTCCAATCTAAATCAACCATGTGATTACTCAAGTACAGGCCTTGCAAACATTTCCTTTTGTCTTACCAGAAAAACAGCCGACCGATAATTCTATTTCTACCTCATGTGTTGGTTCATGCACATACATAATTTGGCTTTGTGTGTGCGCACAACTTAGCAGCAGCTAGGGCTCTGGCCTTCTCTTCATTGACGTTCCAATTGTAAAACTGAAAAATGTGTAGAAAGTAAATTTTCTGACTTTTACTCCCTCTGTCCCATAATATAAGAGTGTTTCTTATATTATGGGACGGAGGGAGTACTTTTTTGACATCTTGAATCAGAACTGCATTAGAGCATCTCCAACAGGCGCCCAACGCGCCGCGCGGTAAAAACGGATTTGGCGCGCGCCCATCGCCTGGTTTGGCGCGGCGCGCAGCGTTTGCTCCAGCAGCCGCGCTGAAAAGCCGCGCGCGCGCAGCTCCAGCAGGCGCGGTAAAATGCAGCGCGCGCTCATTCTACAATATTTTTTAAATTAAAATTACATAGATATAAAAAAGATACGAAGATATTTTACATCGGTGCAACTACTACGGCATAGATAGATAGATAGTTCGACATACATAGATAGATAGATACTACTACGGCATAGATAGATAGATAGATAGAAACTACTACGGCATACATAGATAGAAAACTACTCCAAGTCGCTATCACCACCATCATCACTCTCGTCGGTGTCGTCCGAGGTTGAGAGCCATATGTCGTCCCAACGTTCATCGTCCGACGTTGAGAGCCATATGTCGTCCCAACGTTCATCGTCCGAGGTGAAGAATGACCTCCCACCTGCGGAGACGATGTCGCACTGCTCGTTCGCCACTGCCTTCCGCTGACACCGGTCCGCCCGCTCCAAGCGGCGCCTTGCCGTCCTCTCCGCCCAGTAGGCACGCTCGGCGTCGACGTCCTTTGGGTGGCGACGGCGCCACTCCGCCATGGCTCGCTCGTCCTCTTCGGCGACGAGGAGACGGCGCTGCCGCCGAGAGTGGTCGGCACGGTCCATGTCCGTGATGAGACGCGGCGGAGGGGCGAGGCGCTGCGCCTCCTTGCGCGTGAAGACGTCCCGGAAATTCATCTGCGACCGGGGCCTCTCCAAGCGCCACGCCGCCGCGTCGTACACGCGGGCCGCCTCGCGCGCGCTCCGGAACGTCCCGAGGCCGAGCCGGACGTCGCCGAACCGTATCTCGGCGGAGTACCAGCCGTTGGGGCGCTCGCGGACGCCGCGAAAGCCCGAAGCACCCCGGCGGCGCGGCGGCATGGTGGCGCGGTGGTGGCGCAGAAAGCGGCGAAGCGGCGAGGTTGCGAGGAGGAGGGCGCGTGGCTGTTCTGTGCGCGTGGCGAAGCGCGGGACTTTATAGGCGCGCGTGAAGCGGCGCGCCAAATCTACTGCACCGCGTGCCGCTTTCTCCCCCGCGCGCGCAAACGCTTCCCGCGCGCGCAAACGCTTCCCGCGCGCGGTAACTTCCCGCCACCGCTGGAGCGCGCGGAACCAACCGGCGCGCGCGAAAAACTGCTTTTACCGCGCGGGCGCGCGTTTTGCCGCGCCTGTTGGAGATGCTCTTAGTATCGCTAGAAGTAGCCATGGCTGTATTAGCTTCTAGGCGGCACTGAATTACTCCCTCCATCTCATAATGTAAGACGCTTTTTGACACTAGTGTAGTGTCAAAAAACGTCTTACATTATGGGAAGGAGGGAGTAGTATTTTGCTAGTAGTCATGGCTGTCACAGCTACTTGGTGGCATTAAGAAGGGAGTATCCACCTGCAGTGAGCCAATCTGAAAGGACAGGGCATGAGAGAAGGGACAGGAGACCTAGAAGACAAACCACACACCCACTAGTATCCAGCCAGCCCCAAGTGCAGGTTCTTAGAGGTCACAACTATTAAGGAGTATAAGTATTGGTCTAGGTCTCCTTACATGTTAGTATTAGTCTAGATTTCCTTACCTGTACTCCAAGTTCATTGTAATATATATTCGCCCGTCGGGCTACGCAATACAGATAAGTTACTCCTCTAGCATGGTATCATGAACCCAGGTTTATGGGCTGGACACCAGAACTGGTCCATGTCTCTCCTGATCGAGTCCTCTCCCTCTCGGTCTCCATCTTATCGAATATCAGTCTCCACTTCTATCGAAAACTCTAATTGATTTTTCCCGTCATTCCTCCTTGATAGATTGATCTGGTCTCACTTCCCGATTGATTCATTTGGTCTCGCTTTCAATCTCGTAGCCAAGATCCATCCTGTGGCCACATCTCAAATGCGGCCACATTTGGGCTGCCACCTCTCGCCAACCGCCTGCATGTCATCTCACTCGGCCGACGTCCAGATTAAGGCCCCCGTGGGAACCTCTCGCTCGAGTCCTCCTTGTCTAGCAGTTCCCCGACAAAGCCTTTCTGGTCCTTTTTTATACAATCTTTGTGGCCTTTCTGGTCCTAGTTGTTTTTCTATAGGATTTATGTGGTCTCCTTTCGCATTGCTGTTAATCTATGCCAATTCTCTTGCTGCCGAGTTTATAAGTAAAATCACTTCAACAAACTGAAAGGGCCAGGCTTTCCTATGATGTATGTGTATTATTATTGGAAATGCATGAGGGCACAAGAGTATTATATGTCAGCTGCAAGTCATAGACATGTGCGATATTGCATTTAATTTCATTTCAAAAAAGTAAGCTCATTATCCAGATGCTTGAAGCTCACTGGGGCCTTAGATTGAAGATTCATCTTATCAACCATAGACTTGTTCAGAGGACTAGAGGTTTAAGCAGGCCAAATTTGTCAGCAATATTTGGGAGCAGTAAAAACACATGAATAGTTCAATGGAAGGACATGTAATAACGAGAGAGAGAGAGAGAGAGAGAGAGAGAGAGAGTATTACCTTGTAGATTACATAGTTAATGATGTGTTCCAACACTTTTCTAGTCTCTGTAGAAGTTAACCGAACAAAAAATAATGTCTGCATAGGAGAAAATATATGTAAGTCTCAGACTGTTGTATGAGAGAAATAAGAAAGATGAGTATGTTGAATTTACAACCGAGCTACAGCACCCGAGGATATTTTATATTACTGGAGATTACTACTCCCTCCGATCCATATTAATTGTCGCTGATTTAGTACAAAGATCTAATATGCTTTCAGCTTAATTAACTAAGGCGCCAAGAGAAGGTAGATATGGCCAGATAGCAACAGTTGCTACTTTCAAAGAATGATGATGGTCTGTTCATTTATCTTTCCTACTTCTTGGAGCACTGGGTGGCCATCGCCATAGTACGTACCATCATTTTATTTTGTTCTGTAATAGATCTAAACTTGATTTCTCCTTTAAAACTGAACTTTAAGGGAAATAGCCAAGCTGTTTACATTGTACACTAGAGTTTCCCAGCATAGAACATGCCTTGGTTGATCTTTATGATTGAGATTCAAGATTATAACCCTGTTTTAAGATGTCTCATATTGCACAGTGTGAATATGAAGAAACTCAGTTACAACTCAGTCAGGCAGACATAAATTCCAAGTGGATAACTTCATAGAAAAATAATTAGTAATATCATTAAGATTGGGTTATTCAGTAGTTTCATTGGGATTCCACCGTCATAAGCCCGCCACTACTGTTTGTTTAGCCAAGAAACCTAGCGATGTAAATAACTAAAACTCAGCAAATGCAAAATACATATGGGCTTGGCATCTAAGACCGTATATTTTAATAGAACGATTTCACTAGTATTATGAGCATAGCACAAAGTGAAATGCATTTAGTATCGTCAGCTTACATGACGACTAAACAACTCACAAACAAATGAACCTTGAGGACAGGCTCAACTAAGCATATCACAGCATCAACCCAGCTCTTGCAAGACCAGCACTTGGACTGGAGAAAAAACTTACCACACATTTCCCAGTCCCAACTATCAACATCAATCCATTGGTAAATGAAATGAGGACGAGTGACAAGCCTTTCTAAACAAAATGTACGCCCAACAAAATTGCAGCTCGAGGACCATAACATCAGGAATATGACGCAGGTTGCTAACGCAATTAGCCACCAGAAACGCAACCTACCATAATGAGCTCGGTCGATTGCCTACAACGCAGCGATGGAACCCAGTATCCGTGGCGGCATTAATCGAGCCCGGAAAACCATCCCCGAATTGATAAACAATCCTACGCTGAGCCGATTAACCAATCACCTTGAGAGCTAGGAGGAGGACGAGGAGGACGTGCGCCGCCAGATTCGCTAAGAGCGCGACGGTCACGTGCGATCGCAACGAGGTCTCGAGCCAGTCCCCGCCGCCGACATCCCCGTCCCGTGGGGCGTCGAGGAAGGACGCCGCCCACCACTGCAGCGCGGCGGCACTGGCCGCCGTGGATGCGGCGGCGACGTATAGGCAGTTCACGGCCATGCGTCGCGCTGGCGCATCGGCGTGTGGAGCCAAATCCTAACCTGGGCGAGAGCCTACTTGGTTTGGCGCGGGGGAATCGGAGCTTGCTTGGGGCTGGGGAGAATCTGACGCCGGCTTTATTCGCGCGGGGACGGAGGAGGGGAGGGGAGACGACCACCAGACGAGAGCGACGCGAGGCCGGGACGGGAAGGCGATGAGAAGGGGAGGAGGGCGGGGGAGGAGCAAAATTATTGGTAGGTCGGAAGCAATGAATAGATTAGCTTGGATTAGATTAATTTGCGCTTTGTTTGACAGAAACTGTATGCGTTTTAGCTCATTTCAAGTCTAGTGTATTAGAGCACATTTCAGGTGTTGTATTTGCGTCTCTTCTAGACCAAAAACCCATCTTCAGCGAGGTTGCGGTTTCAGTTACCTGAAAGTAGGATCGGATCGCACGAGGCGATCAGGAGGTGACGAGGCCCTTGCGCGCCGCCGGTGACACCTCCGGTTCCCCCTCTCTCCATCGGCCGCTCCGGCGGCGGGAGGGAGGGGAACCTCGAGTCTGTTCGCTAGGTGGGTGTGTGGTAGGGTTAGGGTTGAGGGAGACGTGTTGGAAATATGACATAGAGGCAATAATAAATTAGTTATTATTATATTTCCTTGTTCATGATAATCGTTTATTATCCATGCTAGAATTGTATTGATAGGAAACTCAGATACATGTATGGATACATAGACAACACCATGTCCCTAGTAAGCCTCTAGTTGACTAGCTCGTTGATCAATAGATGGTTACGGTTTTCTGACCATGGACATTGGATGTCATTGATAACGGGATCACATCATTAGAAGAATGATGTGATGGACAAAGACCCAATCCTAAGCCTAGCACAAGATCATGTAGTTCGTATGCTAAAGCTTTTCTAATGTCAAGTATCATTTCCTTAGACCATGAGATTGTGCAACTCCCGGATACCGTAGGAGTGCTTTGGATGTGCCAAACGTCACAACGTAACTGGGTGGCTATAAAGGTACACTACAGGTATCTCCGAAAGTGTCTGTTGGGTTGGCACGAATCGAGACTGGGATTTGTCACTCCGTGTAAACGGAGAGGTATCTCTGGGCCCACTCGGTAGGACATCATCATAATGTGCACAATGTGATTAAGGAGTTGATCACGGGATCATGTGTTACGAAACGAGTAAAGAGACTTGCCGGTAACGAGATTGAACAAGGTATCGGGATACCGACGATCGAATCTCGGGCAAGTATCGTACCGCTAGACAAAGGGAATTGTATACAGGATTGATTAAGTCCTTGACATCGTGGTTCATCCGATGAGATCATCGTGGAACATGTGGGAGCCAACATGGGTATCCAGATCCCGCTGTTGGTTATTGAACGGAGAGTCATCTCGGTCATGTCTGCATGTCTCCCGAACCCGTAGGGTCTACACACTTAAGGTTCGGTGACGCTAGGGTTATAGAGATATAAGTATGCGGTAACCCGAAAGTTGTTCGGAGTCCCGGATGAGATCCCGGACGTCACGAGGAGTTCCGGAATGGTCCGGAGGTAAAGATATATATATAGGAAGTGCTATTTCGGCCATCGGGACAAGTTTCGGGGTCACCGGTATTGTACCGGGACCACCGGAAGGGTCCCGGGGGTCCACCGGGTGGGGCCACCTGCCCCGGGGGGCCACATGGGCTGTAGGGGGTGCGCCTTGGCCTGTATGGGCCAAGGGCACCAGCCCCAAGAGGCCCATGCGCCAAGAGATGAGGGAAGGAAGAGTCCTAAAGGTGGGGAGGTGGGACTCCTCCCTGGCCACACCCTTCCTTGGAGGAAGGGCCAAGGCTGCGCCCCCCCCCCCCTCTCCCTTGGCCCTATATATAGTGGGGGGAAGGGAGGGCAACCATACCTAAGCCCTGGCGCCTCCCTCTCCCTCCCATGACACATCTCCCTCCTCCCGCAGCGCTTGGCGAAGCCCTGTTGGAATCCCGCTACTTTCACCACCACGCCGTCGTGCTGCTGGATCTTCATCAACCTCTCCTCCCCCCTTGATGGATCAAGAAGGAGAAGA